AGCGTGGGAATGCAAGGCAGAAGGGATAATTGTCTCTTATACCCCGCCTTTACGATATCGCCACCTCTTCACGGAATGAATTACGACTTTCCCCCTCTCTCTATCTCTCACACTTCCCTCAATTGGAACAATAGTGGGCGAATTCCTAATTGTTATTCTAATGACACCTTGATGGTCGGTAATCAAAGATAATTGGGATTGCAAGGACCTTTTCGTCTTTGCACACCTGTTCTCCTGGATCCTTTTGTTTTCTTCGCCCCTCTTTCGCTCTCTTTTATGGACTGCCGCTGCTTGCAAATGTCTTAGAGAACAAGTCTTTATGTATGTGCCATACCCGCTTTATGGCTATAGGGTACTCGCACGTTTTCGGGCTTTTGATTATATTCGATGGCATGTTATGATGGCCGAACCTCATTCCGTGAACTCCTTATTCGTAATGACGTGGATAAACACTTTTCCGAAGGGCTGCTTCTTCTTTATTGCTTCACCCTTAGAGAATAACCCTTTCTAAGCAATCTCAGCTGACTCGGCTCTTCTGTCCTGGTAATTATAAATTGTCGCTGCGCACTTTCTCCAAGGACTCATCGTCCTGATTGAACCTGAGTTCTGCAATCGGAAGCGGGCGATTATTGCGTGCATAAGAGGAGGGGAGGGGCGGAGAAGATGAGACCAAGAAGAATCAGGTAGTCGCGTGTGGAAAAAATCACAGCTGCCGAGCGATTCCCACGTGAAAAATGAATGTATTCATCTTGGAGGGGGAAGGAGGGAGGGAACAAGTCCATGATTGCCTGATGCCTATCGCGCTCTCTGCATACTTCTTCCAATCGATAGAAACGACAGGGAACCACCGTGAAACATTGATATGCCTTTCATGTTCTTTGAAACTTTTTTTTTCTATTCAACCTACCCTGTACCGTGCTTGGGAATGGGGGTGTCTTTGGCAGTGTTTATGCTGATGCACTTGCGCAATAACCTTGCGACAGGGAGTGTCATCCGATCTGTCTCATTCCTTGTGGGGTCGCTCAACTATCAACAAACACCACGGCCTGACATATCCATGCCCCCGTCCTTGACAAATTCATCCGCCCCTCTTGCTGCCTTTCCTTCCTGTCTCCGTTGGGGTCGGACTGTCTTATGGTTGGACTTTTTCTGAGATCCGAAGGTGTCTCGTAATGGGAGTTGTTGAGGTGTGACGTCGCAGGTGAGTCCGAAGGGGACCTGCTCCTCCCCCGGCCAGTGGGATTGGTCGGGAGGGACCTGATTAGCATTCCCACCTGGCCCCGCCCCTTTCGCCTCCTCCCTCTCCCTTACCATCGATCCTTACTTCCCTTCTCCCTTCCCCCCTCCTTCCTCCCTTTTTTTCCGCCCCCTTCTTGGTCTTTTTTCTCTTCTTCTTTATCTCGCCATCTGCGCCGTGTCTCACCACATCATCTTTCAGCATTTTTCACCCAGAACGTCCATGTGCCGAATATGGCACTTGGATGAAAACTTGCCGAGATCCCCGCTGTCACGATGACTTATTTACCCCTTAATAGCACCGACCTGCACATTTTGTCATGCATGAATCATGGATCTGGATTAGGAAAATATTAGGTCTCTGAGTCTGTCTACCCACCTTGTGCTGTGTTTATATCTCTGTCCCTCAAATGAGGCAACTTGTGAATAATGCACAGTAAAGGGGGTTATTCAAGGGAGGTGTCTCAATCGTACGTCGGATAGATACACATATGGGAAGAAAAGCATAGGAGGTGATTCCGTCTGGTGATGGATGGAGGTCGGAATTAGTACCCTCTGGGGGGCTTCCATTCATACGTCTCTTGATGAATAATTGGTGGGGCTTCGAAGTCTTCAGCTGGTCTTACCAGTGACACGATACGTCTCAATGTTGCCTCCTCAAGGTGAATGATTGCCCCCCTCTCGCAAGAATTGATTTGCACGCGCACTCCACTCGATTTCTCCTGTCCCCTGTGGGGAGTTCTCTTGTATGAAATCTGTGTGTATACATGCATCGTTTCCACGTCGTCAGTTTTCGAGGCCTTGGGGTTTATGGTATGGGGAGAGAAGTCAGGGTCTGGGGTCTGGCAGAGGAGTTGTTGATGCAATGGGAGAACAGCTGGGGTAGAGGGGTTCACTCACATACCCGAGGGAGGGGGGGGACCTGGGGTAAGGGGGGGGAAAGGAAGAGGGGGGTCAGGGGATGGCGGGTGTCGAATTTCCCCCCTAGCTCCAAGGCCCCCCTATGCTCTAATGAGCAAAAACCCTGCGCCTTTGCCTTCCCTTGTGCGTGCTCCATGTTCACTACACTCAATGCTCTTCTCCCTGCCTCTACAACTCGACTACAATGCACATAAGCCCTAAGCCGATTTTTCCCCCTCTCTACTGCTCTTTCCCCCTCCTCTTCAGCATTCAATGAAATACCGGCTATGTTAGGACAAAAATAGCGAGAAGGGTTTCGGAATAATTGCCTGCTGCCGAGGAAGTGCAGCGTCAAATTTCAGGGTCGATGACAGACGAGTCTTCCGTACGTTTTGTGCTCATCCGGCACAGGAATATCCGCCAGGAAATCCAAAAATTCTTCCCTGATATTCGGGCTAGAGTAAGATACCTTCCTAAAGGAGCTATTAGCCGACGTGAAACTTCTGCACTGCAAAAGCAATTTTCGATAACTGCTAAGTCTCCCATTCCACAACCCATCTCTGGAGAGAGCGTGGTATAGCAACATCCAATAGAAGACAAGGTCAGAGAAAATTGAACGAGTCCGCTGTTTCATGAAGTGTAGGGTATTACCTAAAATTATGCGGTATGAAGTCACATGCCCAGAATTTGCTTCGAAGATGAAAAAGAAGGCTCCTCCTCCGCTCAGGAATGTCTTGTGTCAGTTGTGCAATTCGGCGAAGAATAACTATAAGGTTCGTTACAGTTTAATTTACGTTCTCCGTTCACGTCACATGGGATGAAATTTCTTCTCCCCACCTGTCGGCGGCATTCCTTGTGGCGTATGGCAATTTTCGAAGGAAAAAAAAAAAGGAAGAGACGAGATGACAGGAGAAAAGACCTCCCCTTTTTCTCGATGCGCCATGACAGTGCAGGATGTAAAGATCTAGGTGAGACCCAAAAGCGCCTATCAATATGTCGTTTGGCCATAGAGATACACGCGGCCCGGGGTTTGTCCGGAAAGATGCCGAGTCATTCGTGAAGAGGCTGCTCCCCTCATCTTAGATTGTCCTTAAATCATCATCATCATCATCATCATCATTGAAGGAGGATGAGCTGGACGGTTTCTCCTCGTGTACATCACACACAGACGTGCATAGCTGGAATTCCTTGCCTGAATCTACACGTGTCTGTAGGGAACATCTGATCCTCTCTGGCTCCTCTTTCATCTTCCCGAATTGTTTCAAAAAATCTTCCAGAGTCTTGCATTTTCCCTCAGCTCTGTCCATCCATGCGAGGGGGGAAAAGTTATTAATAAAGAAGTCTCCATATAAATAAGAAAACAAAAGAACTGAACGTATATACTGACAGGCCTTGATGGGGGTACACTAGAGAAATACCTCGGGATGAAATCACCAACCCACAAGCATTTGGGTTCAACAATGTCTATTGTATTCTCTTGATACCTTACTTGGCTTGGGATTAATGCAATAGCCTGCAGTCGTAATGGAAGCGCTTTGGTTTCCCCCTGCAGCTGTTGTGGATACGATCTGTCGAAGTAATCATGAATTCTAATAGGCTGAAGAACATTTGGGATTGTTTCAAAACAAACTAATACGTCGGTGTTTTTACTGCTTTAATGTGGATGGAGGGAGAACGCAATCATGAAAATTACAGTGAAGTGCTTATGAGATGCGGCATATTGGCGAGGATGACTCGCATAATGGAAGATGGGTTCAAAGGGAAGAAATGAGTGTTTGATGAGTTCGATGTAGCTTGGCCTTTTCCACTTGTCTGGTCACATGGAGGAAACTCTCAATCCTCCTCCCCCTCCCCTTGCAATCCGTGAATACGGTTGGTGCCCCGAACACTATCGATTCCTTCTCTGATTCGCTCTCGGATAAATGGCACTCGGGATTAGATTCTTCTTTTTTCTTCTCTTTTCCTCTTCGCTCTCTTTTTTCCTTCTACCATGCAGCTCTTCCATTCCCTGGTCTCTTTCTCATCTTGTCGCCTGGGTGAAGGGGGAAATGCGCCGTGTGCCAATCATTATGAGCCCAGCACCTGCTCCCTAACTGGACAGGTATTTATGACTCCGAGACTGATGGCCCTTTATTCTTCTTGACGGATCGGTGGCAAATGTAAAAGGTCGTAACTCAAGACAGACGAAAGACACGACATAACTATCTCTCGCCGGTTTTGTCGTTATATCTCTTATTCTCTGTAGTTGGGTCGATGTTTTCCACCCAAGCCGGGATGTTTTTGCCACGCAAATGAAGCCAAGCCCCTGAAGTCAATGGCCCCGATGGTCAAGCCAGGGATGGGCTTTGAAAAGGAGTCACCTTTTAGGTTGTATAGGGGAAGGCAAGGGGGTTTTCTTCATAGGCATCACCCAGGTGCGTCGCCTTGGGCAAGGGTCCAATGAAAATTCCAAATACTGGAAGCCAGAGCTTCTGTGAAGGGGAAGAGCTGACTGAGGAGAAGTGGAAAGATAATCATCTTGCTAGGGCCCCCCATACACCATGATGATAATAAGAAACCATGAGGCCTTATCTCCCCCATACTCCCATGCAAGCCATTCCATTCCACAACTCCTGCACGCTGCTTGCTCCCTGCCGTGATTCATGACGAGAAAACATTTTCTAGCCTCCCGATTCTAGCCCATTTGCCTCGCTGGCATACTGAACGATCTCCCAACTTGTACTCTGTAGCCTTCTTACCCCCTGGATAGGCCTTTGTTGAGGAATGTCTGAAACGTATCGGTCAACATGGGATAGGAGGAGGGGGGTTTGTCGCACGCTGAGACCAGAGTGGAGATTGTGATTGAGTCTTGTTTGACCAGTGGGATGTATCTTGATCCTGTGACGTGGAAAAGTCCGATGTGGGGCCCTGATAAGATTGTCTACGAGCTCATTAGTATGGGTGGCGAGTCTCAGCAACGACGCTGCATTCCAGGACTCCTGCTGCGAGCCACATTTCCATCTCCACAGGACCCTTGCTCTAATGGCTATGCCCACCTCACCTTCTCTTCTCTCGTCTCTTCTCTCTCTTTTTCTTCCTTCTCTTTCTTGCTCTCATGCCTCCCATGAGCACATCGCATGCACTCTTGGCCTCGATAAACAGCTTTTCCCCCCGCAATGTGTCTGTGGAAGAAAACATCTCTTGCAGGATTGAAAATCCAGCGTTTCTTCTGGGAGGGAATCTTGGGATTGCGTTCCCTATCTCTTTTCTCTCCCCTGCTTGGAGACGGAATTGGCTGGGCGCCTGACGTCTCACCAGGGTTCCTTCGACCCCATAGGGTTACGCATAATTAGTCTTCATCAAAGCCCTGTTTCCGAGGCTAATGCGGACCGGGCGACGGCGACCCCCTAGCGACCTCTTGTAACTCTATAGGCGACAGCCTCCTTTCAGATATCTGGTACTTCGTGCCCCAAGAAAAAAGGATGGGGACACCCAAGAAGGTCTTTTATAGGTGTCAGGTCTAGCCTATAGGGATCTGGGGTTTAAGAGAGAGACTTCTCGTCCCTGGGGGAAAATACTGGTATGAACGTGGGGAGAAGTATGGAGCGGCTACAGTGTGGAACAGATGACGTGATCTTGAATGTAAATTGTGTTATCGGGCTCGGGGATGGACAAGTGGCTCTCGGATACATAATAGGATGAAAGGCCGCTTGACTGACAACCCCCGGTGTAAATGGAGCGCACTCTAATCCCGTCATCTCCGCCTTGCAATGGGCACTTGAGCTCCCAGTATATTTCATTCATGTAATCGAATTCCCAGCTAACAATTTTAGTTCCGCTGGAATGGGTCGGTGTAACAGTCGGCTGTTCGTGTACGTGTTGCAGGTGATGTGAGCAATGCAAGTATAGGAAGTGGGGAGGGAACAGGAGACGACGATGATGACGAGCGAGGTGGGAAGAAAAGCCAAAAGAAACGTGGGATCTTCCCCAAAGTCGCCACGAACATCCTTAGAGCCTGGTTATTCCAACACCTCACGGTAAGTTCATTCCTCAACTCCTAATTATTTCACTCTTTAATAAATGAGCCTTCAATGGACAACATATAGATGAGTATGGTCGTGTGCTTGGAAGGAGAAAAAGGAAAAAACTGTCGAGTCATGTCGGTGACATTCACTTATGCGAAGTCACGAAGATGACCACAGGGTATGTGGCGTGTAATGAGAGAGAGAGACAGAAATGGACAGTAAGCTTATAGGCGCATGAGACGAGGAAAAAAAAGTTACGTTGCAGTCTGCGTGGCTCCATACTCTGACCAGGACCATGTGTCTTTTTGGATAACCCCTAATCACTGCATTAATTAGGCCATAAAACACGGCGAAGGTCCGTAATCGGCTTGCAAATCATTTTTTCCCCTTTCTCCGGTACAAAGTGTGGTGTGGGGAAGGGTAATTGAAAAGCGTCAGGACTTTGATGCTGTTTTTATTGCTGGGCACCCCATTCATTGGTTGAAAATGGCAGGATCAAACATCCCATCAGTCAGTCGTAATGATGGAGGTGGAAACAAGACTCGTCCTACTCCTAGCATTTGAACCAGGGTAAATAAAATAAAAAACTCCCCGGTAGTCTTTTTTTAAATTTATAGTGATCGCAGGGATATGAATCTAACCATTCAGGTTTACTTCAATTCTTCTCCATATAGGCCTTGAATGGTTCCACTAGATAGACTGAAGAGACCGGTAGAGGATGATTTTTACGGCCTGACCCCGCATCTTTGGCCCCCATCCATCATGATGTATCCGCGGGAATCTTTCTTTCCCCTCTATCGATCGACGTGAGCATTTAATGTCAGTTCACCGCCCGCCTTTATGAAGCATTTTTTTTCCCGACTGCTATAAAGGAAGAATGGCCGCATAAACGGGGGGATTCCAGAAACATCTTTGGTCTCGAGTAGGGACCCTCCTCATCCCCAGAGATTGTGGATTTATTTGTATCTCCCTGGCCCGTCGGCACAGGATCTCGCTTTGAATGCCGTTTTGATAGACTTTCAGGCGGAAAGGCGTTTTACCCCCTTGTGATTATATCTGATGCCTTTTGAGCCGCCTTCTCCCCACTGCCCTAAGGATGGGGAAATATAGGAAGAGGGAGGAGAAATTCCTTAGCCTTAGTCAAGGCCGCCAGTTGAAAGTTTTTTAATTTAACGCAAGTGAAGGAGGAAAAGTACATTAAGGAAATTTGACTGGGTTGTGGTCAGAGCTTTCTGGAAGATTAAGCCTCCTGAGCGCCTAGGGTCCTAAATCGGCATGACTGAGCATAGCGTAGCAATGAAATCTGGTGGATAGTTTCAGAAAGAGTTAAATATGTTTAATTTGAAAGACAATGAAGAAAATCAATATTAAATAATTAGTAACTGAGTTTTTAAGATATAAGCTTTGCATTCTTATTTTTTTTTTAATTCGAATAGGGCGTAACGTACGTAACGTACAACGCTATATTTAGCGCTATCTGGCAGCCTTGACTAGTGGAAGTGGTAATGATTCCCTTGTAGCTTCGTTGTCTCCGCCGGCTCTTCTCGATTTCATCCACTCTCTTCTCCCCTTATCCTCTTCCTTTCTGTCTGGGCTCCATTTTGCCTTCCATTCCGCTTGATGGAAGGAGCCCTGAATTATTCCGCAGCCGCCTTCTTCCTTCATCATGGCTGGAATTGGGCCCTGGCGTCTTCGGTAAAACCTTTCCTGTCTCTTTGCTCTCATGAAAGTTTCACGTCCTCTTCTCCCGTCTCTCTTTTTCTCTACTCATGTCTCTTGTTTTCCCTGTTGGGTTGTCCATGTGTTTACCGGAATGGTGCCCAATTGAATTATGCAGCGTCAGGGGAGAAATCCTATGCATTATAGATGCAATATCCAAATATGGATATTTGCGAGAGGGGGAGAGAGAGAGAACCCATGACGCGGATGTGGCATGTTTGAGGCTCTAGCTTCCAATCAAGAGAGATGGCTTTTCCTTGTACACCTGATTCAGCGCATGAAGTTTCATTTTCTGGGAGCAGGCTATTCCCATTTGAGGGGAGTTCTCCTTCCATACTACAGCTACACTGCATGGCTCTCTCTCGCCCCCCCCCCCCCCCCCCATCCCCTTTCTCTCTGGTTGCCAAAGGAACCCTTCCAGATCCATCCATCATTCTGTGCACTGCTCCTTACTTCGATCCCTCTTCTGGGCCCTAGCGAAACGAATCTTCTCTTTCCCTCTTTCTCCTCCTTCCATAGTACAAGGCGTCCACTTTTGCCAAGAACTTGATCGCCGCAGCTGAACGATAAAGGGGACAGAGGGACCATTTTCGTTATGGTCCCTGGGAAATCAGTATGCAAAATTTTGGGAGGGGAGAAGAGAGTGTCCAGGGAATAGAACGCTCCGATTGTTATACATCGCTTGTCGAGGAAAATCTTTGAGGGAGAGAGAGAAGAGAGTCAATTTTCATGGAAATGGAAGTAGAGGCGTGAGATGCACAGCCCATGAGCCCCAAGCCCTTCCTTGTCAGGGGTACAAAATGAATTCCGTTCCCCACCCCGGACCCTTCTTGGAAGGCTCTAGGGAGAAAGGAAAAAGACTTGGTTGGGCCGAACCCCTCCTGGAATTGAATTCCCCTTTCGAGAACATGCATGGAGTTGGGTCCGTGGGTTGGAATGGATTGGATCTGCATGAATATTGAGTCAGCCTCTCTCTCGGTTGGATCTTTAACACTAGATTAACCACGTAGGGTGCGTGGAATGTAAAGGCAGTGTCATTAACTGCAACTGAGGGGGAGAGGGAGAAAAAACTCTCTCTCTCTCTCTTTTTTTTTTTTTTTTACATCTATGGATGGAATACATTTGCGTTTCATGGGTGCCATGCTGCATCATCCTGGATCGATAGGTTTAAATGGATAGATGGCCCATGGTCTACCCGATAACATTCAACCTCCTCTCGCTCCTTCCGCAGCCCTTCCGGTATGGAAACCATTTTCGGTCAAGGTTCTAGATGAGCTCTCTTGCCACGGTAGCATGGGTGAGGTCGTATAAAAGGGAGGATGGTTCTGGACGCTTGCCATTGTCTTAATCGTTCTTGGAGGCCATCACAATCCGTTATTGGCGAGGATTTCAAGCCTCACTGGAGAGAGGAGAGACGAGGAAAGGGGTTTTCCTACTGAGTCTTGGTCATTACAGTGCACTGGTAGAAGTCCCCCCGACTCCCATTATTGCCTTGTATGTGTGTCTGGATGGGGGTTGTGTAGGCTTCCATTATGGCGTCTGTCCTCACTGTTATTGGCACAGCCGGCGCTGTGTATCAGCTCAGTGTTATTACAGCCCTCCTGACTCCGTTTGTCCGAGCGAAACTGCTTGCACTACTCTCAAACAAGAGCATATTTCCTAGAATTCATTTTTAATGAAGTTCCAGAGTTACTGACTGAGAACCTCCTTTCTTTTACAGCATCCATATCCATCAGAAGACCAAAAAAAGCAGCTTGCCCAGGATACCGGTTTGACGATATTGCAAGTCAATAACTGGTGAGTCCGTGCTTCATTTTCTGGTTTTGATCGACATTTGTTCAGTGGGAGTGGGAAGGGAAAGGGATCCAACAGACCTCCGGAGAAGAGTGCATCATCCGCAACAAAGAGGGGTCAAAAAGAAAAGAGGGAGCATGAGAGCATAATATTCATTGCTGTTCACATCTGCCGTTCATTGCACGCTTGATTGGAGCCATTGCCCGTAAAAGGGGTAATGCCTTAATCTCCCTTAGCCCACATAAACATAACACTGATGACGCTCAGCTTCCTGTCACCCCATCGGGTCCTCGCAAATACCTTTCCGTTGACGTTTACTACAATCGGAAAGAAGGGCAGCCCTATTCCTGGGCTCGAATAATGACTGACTGTGGGTCGGACTTTGATTGGCCCATGGGAGGGGCGGAGAAGTAGCATCTGGCTGCCAAGGCATTGGTGTAAGCAGAGCAAGTCTTCTTCCTCCGCTTCCTTTCCTCTCCAGCTTCCACTCTGAATTCGTTTCAGAGATAGGAAGGAATAGGGGGTGATAATGATTGGGAGGCAAAGGGGGGAGGGAAAGGAACCTCTTTTCGGGGCTAATGCGGGAATCCTCTCATGTCCTTTAATCCGTGCCAAGTAGCCCTGTCTCGTCCCCAGTCACGTTCCCAGGAATAGTCCCAATTTTTCATGATTTCTCTTCCCTTCTGACGACATGTCAAGATTCTCCCTTCCCTTCATTTCTGTAAAAGGCAAAAAATCTCCCCCTTTTCTGTCATGTAAGATCCGCGCTCTTTTTTTTTCTTTCGCCCGACGATGTGTGTGTCCAGAGAGAAAAGAAGGGAAGGGCTCGTGTCATTCATCATGGTGACAAGTGTCCACCCCTTCTTCTGCGGCCGACACTGTCCACGTCAACTCCCGACATGGATCTGTCCATCTTCTCCACTCACTTCCTATATACATCACCCTGTTCTCTTCGTTAAGCCATCTCGTAATCTCGCTTTGTAGAAAAAAAAAAGGAATAGGAGTTCAAAAAGTCACGGATCTTTGCTAGCTTGTCGAATACCGGAGGAGGGGAGAAGTTGATCTACCGTCAAAGCTTTCCTCACGAAAGAAGGTAGGCGATCGACAGGAACCCGGAGCTATGTTTTATTCATGAAGACCGAGGGAAAAAAATCTTAAAAAAGCACGTGACATTGATGTGTGGTAGAGGTCAGGAAAGGGTCTTCACGGCCGTGTCCTCTAAAGAGAAAAGACTTTTTCTCATCCTCCCTTCCTTTTCAGTCTTCATGACGTCACCCATCCCCCTGGATCCTCGTGCCTTGTTCGCATTGATTGAAAAAGTTAGGACTGTGGGGAAATAAGAGAGAGAAAAAAACCCATGAGTCAGATCTCGTCTCCTCTCCCTGGGTTAATTCCAGCTAATGGTCCTCTCGCGCCGGCCGAGTTTCCATGGGAGAGCCCATGCATTGATTAATCGGTCCAATCGGAGGATCTAATTCGATTTTGGATGCCGGCCACTGGCAGCGGCAGAACAGCGGAATGAGATTACGGGAGGAAATGGGAGGAGGGACGGAGGGAGGAGGAAGAGAAGAAGGGAATCAATGGAATGAAATGCTAGAAACAGTCTCTCTCTCCCTCGTCTACATCTCTCTCTCCATCAGACTCTCTCGAGGGAACAGAGATGGATGCATATCATTCAACGGCGTTCCCCCCATATATGCACCCCGCACTGAAATCTCTTCTCTTCCTATGGGCAGAAAATTCCGTCTCTTGTCGTCGATCCATCGGCCAGAAAATTGCATCTCCCGGAGCTTGAAATGAAAAAAGAAAAAAAAAAGAAAGACGAGGGTCGAGCCAAGAGGAAAATTCCAGCTCCTCCCATCTTGTGTGTCCTCCCTCCCGACATTCTCCAGACTTGCTCTTCATCGGAATCCAACGGTATACACCATCCTCCGCGTGGAAAAACAAAGCTACTTTTTTTTTCTCTTGAAAGCTGGGATAAAAAAATCAACTTGTGGCATACGACATTGGATTTAAAATATTTTTATTTGGGGAAGGCAAAGGTCGCCAGCTTCAAAACGAAGTTTCTCTCCAAAGGAAATAATGAAAAGATAAAATTATGGAACAGGGGTTGATGCGAAGGGGTTAAATGAGAAAGGGAAACCGGAAATGGAGGTGTCTGCCAGCTGCTCCCGATGCCTATGGGGCAGGTGGGACGAAGAAATCCGTAGTTCCCGTCCTCCATAAAGTACAGGGTCCATCCATCCCCATGAGGAGAGAGACTGAAGAGAAGGGAAGAAATGAAGCCCAGGGAACATGGGGGTCTGAGAAATTTACGATTTTCATTCTCATTTCCCGAACGCAGGGAGAGGGAAGAAATGAGTCTCCAAGGGACCCCTTAATAAGCCGCCAAATGGGCCTCCAAACACCTTTTTAATGAACTATCTGTGAGGAGGAGAGACCGAGGAAATGGGAAACTTCCCTGGCATTGGCCATTGGCCTGTCTTTTCCATTACTCTAAATACCCAAGGGCGGCCACTATAGATCCCACTTCCCAATTTGTTGCTTTCTCCCTCCTCTTTCACTGTTTTATGGACTTCTTTCTTTCCCCCTTTGACACGAACAGATGTCTGAAACTTTTTAATTGTTTCGTAAGGAGAAGTACTCATTTATTACTTGGTTTATCTGTCTCATCAGTACTTCCTCGTGGTCGTCTTTTGACTCATACCGCGGAAAGATAACAATTATCAGATCGTCAATGCTAAACGTGGACTTATATGCTGGATGTCCTGTAATAACGGAGGTGAAAGATTTACAGCTCTCTTGACTACATGTCAGTCTCATGCGTCCAAGTTGGATCCCAATTACTCGGCATGGATGGAAACTTGGATAGGCTGGCTTCATTCGATGAAAGATTGGGGAGGGCTTGAGCAGAGCAATTTCCGATATGACAGGTTTTCTCCTCTCCCGATGCTCATTCAGGGGATTTCCAAGTAATCCCGGATGATTTCGTCCCCTGAAGCTCTGTCTCTTCCATCCTCCCTTGAGAGATCCCCAAAAATTGGTACAGATGCAATCCTTGATGGATTTATAATGTTGCGAAAATTGCACTCCTCCCCTGCCAGGCTGGAGTTTGTAATTGCTTCATAAATCCTGAGCCAGATGCCCTGGCTTTAGACAGAGCGGAGCATCGAATCTCCTCATCAAAACCTCTTCGCATGTTGTCGACCTTCGTTTCTGCCCCTATTCGCGCACTGCTACGTTTCTAGGCAATGACAAGTTTGGCAATCCGAATGTCGCAATCCTCTCGAAGGGCCAGAAGGAAGTTGAAGATTTATGTACGGAATGCCCAATGGCAGCCTACATACTTGTCTGACCTAATTTTTTTTCCCACGTCTTCTTCGCTTGTAGCGGCGCCTTGTATAATATGAGGCGGGGTAGGGGGAAAGCGAAGTCGTCGATAGCTGCCCACTATTGGCGTATATCATGATAATGAAGATAATGGGGTATCAGGAGTGTCAGCAGGGCTGAAATATAGCCGGGAATCTCGAGACTTGATGAATCGACCTTCAAGGTATTCATTTTCTGGGGACTCGAGGGAAGCTCGTTCACCTTTCCTGCCCATCCTCAAAAACGTTCTCTCGACGAGTTACTTTGTTCCTTTAAAATACTACAGGGGGGAAACGATGTCACGCCCACCGGCGTGATAGAGCAGTTTAGGGCATGACCACGATCTTAAATTTCCTGAATGAGGTCATCTAAGGTAGTACATTCGAGATTTGGAAAGGACGGGGGAGGCGCAAGTTTATGATACAAATGGACGTGAGTATCCTGTTGTTGACGATGTCTTATAATTTTCTGTCATCGGAGAAAGAGAAAAGAAAAGCGGGCTTGAATCTGAAGAAGGGAGAGGAGGAGACGAAGACCGAAAGAAGCTTGGATGAAAAATGGAACTCGGCGGGGTTGTCTTTCCGGCGCTCAGAATGGATGGTATCCTTGGTAATAGGGCCTAAAAGCCCCTGTCTCTGTCTCTGGGATGAAGTGGTCATGTCGTTAGTCAATATCACGGACAGTTGAGAAGTTACTTCCCCCGTGACTTATGGGCCTGGGGGGTCTCTCCTCCCCTCGAAAAGAGCCCTTCCCCTCTGACCTCGCCAGTGTCAAGTGCAGACGAAGGGGGGAAAAGAAGAGAAGGCAAGGAGATAAATGAGGGTTGGCCTCAGCCTGACAGGTTCCTGGGGGTGGTGGTGAAAGAGGTGACACCCCCGCTATCATCTATCAACTATAGCGTTAACTGCCCGACTTAATGAGTGTCGCACGGTAATATGTGGGGGGTTCCCACCCAGTTCCCCGGAATTAATGACCAAGGGTTTGGCAAAAACCGGGTGCACAAATCAGCTTGTGCCGACGCGTGCGAAAGAGGACACACACACATTTGGACGAGCCACATTTGTCATCATTGACAACTAGGAAACTGCGGCCATAATAGCTTCAGAATGACTTGACGAGCCGATTGAAGAATGGTTACTTACAAGCCGATGAGTTGTCCTCTGCGTTCTTTTCTCCCGCTCTCTCTCCCTTTCTTGATTAATGATCCTATCATAAGGAGATAGACCTGTTAAGGAAACCGTCTCCAGGGGTGGGAGACAGTGATGAAACGTCACCACCACGTGCACGTAACTCAATCACCGAAAGCCTTCGGTCCGTCGGCCAGGCCCCTCGTGTTCCCTACATTTGTCATCCAATTAGAACCACCTGAGTCATTAGCCCAGCACCTGCTGTATTATACAGGCTTGGCCCAGCCACCAACAGAGCCTTCTGGTCCTCTCGCCACAAATCATGCTCTTCTTAGCACTCTGGTGGAACATCCGTCATCTGCCAATAGCAGAGTCTGGACGATATCGCACGCTGCTAGTAATGGATCCAAGCTTTCCTCGGTCTCATAGGAAGGTTCTCCGGCTGTTTGCCAGCTCATGGGATGCTGCTAACAGGTTACGGATTTAGAACATATTTTATTTCTGAGG